TTCTAGGTCCGAAACGTCAGCCTTCCTGCTCCTATGATGCTGCTTGGCCTGCTGTGGTCATCCAGCTCTACACCTTGTTATCTCTCATTTTTAAAACGCAGTTTTGCTAGTTCGCCAAGCCAAGTAACTCATGGCTGTAAAGAGGTAGTTGTTGTTTCTCCAGCTGTATTTCTCTAGGCAAAGATCTAGCCATGTAGATAGTTACACAATTATGTACACACAATTGTTTCATATTTTAATAATCGGAAGGGTTTAAATTTTGCAGGTTTTGGGCTCTCAAAACTTCGCTTGTGTCGCAATACGTCAACATATATATTGACCGTTTCATTGGTTTGCTGAATCTCGTGATTTATTTTCACGACTGTCGATTTCATTGCTGCAGCTTCATGCATAAATGCCGTTTCAAAGCAGCTGAAAGGATACTTTAGAAATTAACTTATGATCATTAGTTGCATTGGCCATGATTGCGGAAATCTATTTGAATCAATTTGTATTTTTATTGATTTTTTTCACACTTAATGTTATACAAACCATCAGTATAATTGCTGATCGCCTCTAGTTACTTTGCCAACTACAGTTAGGCTCAAATCGAGCAGGATTCAACTTCACCCGGAAGAGATCTGTACTTGTAGAACAAGCAATAGTGAATATCCGTGTTACCCATTCAATTTTGCGATGAATCGCCATGAAGTTGCCCTTTCTTTGAAACCAATAGATCACTTTTTCCCCAAATAGGTCAGTGTTTCTTCTTAAATAAACGGTAATTTCGAACTAATATTTGTATATTTATCACATCATTGAGAGCCAATGAATGTGGAGCATTTTGGACTAGTGTTATGAAATTTACTAGCATTCGATCTACTTGGTCGTGCCACCGACAGGGCATTACAATCTTCATTAATTTAGCAGAAATCAGCCATTCGACCTCGAGAGAGGAAGAACTTTCACCCGCCTTTAGTATCGCGGAAACAAAACGTGGAAATTTTGTTGACTCGAAAGGACAGTGATTTATTTAACAAAAACAACCAGAAACATGTAATTTATAGTCATGGAGCAATTAATATGTTTACACTGCAATGCTGAATGAGGTTAGCACAATATGTAGGGAATTAATGCAATAATATGAACTGTTTCATAAGATTCCAAACGTTGAATGATCGTATTGTCTGCTAGATAGTAAAGCTGCTTTAAAATAGTTGATTTTTTTTCAGTTACTCATTAGGCGTTATATATTTATTTTTAAAAATCACTGTTAAATAATTATGTGATGGAATGACATTCATTAAAACAACTGTGTAATTACTGTTATGTATTTCATTGCAGCTGCGAAATATGTTCCACGTTTTCTTAAAATTAGATTCTTGAGCGGCTACGTTTTCAACGAAACTGCATTTGTGTCATGAGAAATATTAATCAGACAAAGCATTTAAAGTTAACATTGTACCTGTAGATGCAGAAATAAACCCAGTGGGAGTTAAAATGCTTTAGCCCTCAACTGTTTAGCAACACATAAATAAAAAGTAACGGCCAAATATAGAAATTGCATATTGTATAACAAGCGACATGGGAGTGGGATTCTGGGGATAGTATTCATTATTAAAAAAAGGTAAATTCGTCGCTTATTTAAGCTTTCATGGCATGCTCCAATAACATAGAAGAACAATATGAACAAAAAGCGCAATATTGCTTTCCCGTTCTGTTCTGATCTTAAAGAGAAAGAAAACATTGTACTCTAAGGTGGTTAGGGGAGGAGATGTGCAACAGCTTATTATCTTTTGTGCACGAGGCTAGGGAAATATTTGAAAAATATTTCCGTTTCTATTCAAGCGTGAGATAGACCTCAACAGGAATGAATGAAAAAATCTTGTAAGTAGTCAAAAACATTGTCAAACTTCTCTGAGTAATAAACGCTAATGATGGGATCTTGAGTCCCTGGAGGACAAAGGGCGCTTTAAGTATTCTGTGATGTTGTATTGGCTAACAAGGAGTTTACAAAAGATTTACCAGGCAACATTTTGAATCCGCAAGAGGTAAGCAAAGCAAAAGGCTGGGGTTCAGACAGCATTGAACTATATACAAGAAGAGAGAAGGAAGAGAGAAAGGCAAGCGCACGACTAAATGGGTGAGTGCATTTCTTTAAATGAAAATATTTTTGAGCTTAGTTTGTTATTTCAAAGCAACAGCATTCAGTTCCAGTTTAAATGCTATGAATTTGCTCCTTTTTTTCGCCAACATTGGATAATGTTACATGTTCGTTTTGATTCAGCCTGGGTACTGCTTGGCTGATTTTGAGTCAATGCAATTGACCTGAAATGACAGGCTTTTTGTTTTTTTCTGAGATGCAAAAATTGCGATTACGATGGACGCAATTTAGTGACATTCTAACTGAAGCGAATTCAAATAAAATGTTACGTTTCTTCTAATCTATCTGACAGTCATTAACCTGATGTGTAAATTGCACTCACTAGCGATTTATCAAAATCATTGTGCGTAAATGTTAAATACGATATTAGTGCCTAGATCTTCATTTTTTTCGGTAAAAATAGTGATTCTGAATACAATTATCGTCGTCTCATTGCCTTCCACTGATACTACAGTTAGACTCTTACAGCAAAAAAATGTCAGGCCTTTTTAATTACAAGCATTACTAAG